ATCCAAAATTCCAAAACATTAACACTAAACATAAACTAAAATTTAACTTAAACATAAACTTTAATTTAACAAATCATGCAATGCATCTTGAGCAAGTCCAACATCCAAATCATCTTCATCTCCTCCATCATCTTCATCTTCAAGGTTGTGAACCTCCAAATCATCTTGATTGCTAATTCCATTCTCTCCATTTTGACTGCCAACTTCTAAATCTCTACTTTCAATTGTGAAATCTAAAATATCATCATCTAACCAATCTTGATCATTGTCCATGATCCACTCATCATCTGATTCAATTTCGTCAATGCTACATTCTACCACCTTTCTTGTTTTCTTCTTTTTTGCCAACTTTGAATTTGTCATTACAAACACAACATCGTTCATTGTTTTTTGCTTCAAGCGATTTCTTTTCTTTGTATGGACCATTTCAAAAGCACTCCAATTTCTTTCACATCCCGATGAACTACAAGTTAAGCTAAGGACACGAATTGCAAATTTTTGTAGCTCGGGATGCTCGTCCCCATATGATTCTCACCATTGTGCCGGAGTTTTAGTTTTAAGAGCCGCCAATGCTATTGCACTACCGACAAACTTTGCCTTTCTCTTAAAATCTTCCAATTGAGCATCAATTTACTTATTTCTTCTACATCTCCGATCATCCTTTCCATACAATCATATAATCCTCGTTTAACTTCATAGTCAGCTTTAAAGTTAGAGGTATAATGCAATTTTGTGTTGAGATAGTAACCGGCAGCATGCAAAGGTCTGTGCAATTGCTTATTTCACCTTTCATCAATTATATCCCATAAAGGCTTGTAACTAAATAATAATAAATAAAAATTCAGTGAGTAAAGTTGAATAAAAAAGGAGAACGGTGAGAAAAGTTGAATAAAAAAAGAACAAATTTGAAGAGTAAACAAAACAGAGACTAGTACATAAAACATATCAGATTTGAACAAAACAGAGACAAGAGTACATCAAATAGGGAACTATATTTTCTCTAAAAATGAAACAGAATTAGAGTTGTAGTTAATACCTTCTTTGAACACCATTGAAGTTAGCTTGAAATTTCTCTTTAGCTTTGTCCATTTCCTCATAAATTAATCCCATCGCTGGAATATCATCAGAATCCACTAATTATGTTCAACTTGCTTATCTGTGTACAAGTTAAATGATGTTACAACAAATAACAATATTTTTCCAAAACTCTTTATCCATAACCACTTCTTCAATTTGCTTTCATTCACTTGTTTTTACAAACTTGGTTATTGTCCATTCATACGTGAACATTCTTATCAATCCTCCTTTATTCTCCATGAGACACCCTAGAGTTAAAATAAGATGTCGCAAATCGAGTAATTGCCGGTCTCACCAAATCTTTTCATTTTGTATGAATTTGTAATAACGAAATAAGGGAAGGCTTTGAATAAATGAATTGAGTGATTTTCTTACCTTTTGAAATTGTTTCATTGTGAACTTTTATATTTTTTTCAAAATTCTCTAACATAAGATCAATGCAGTGGGCTGCACAGGGGGTCCAATAGAGCTTCTTTTGCTTTTCCATTAACATTGTACCTGCTGCTTTGTAGTTTGCAGCATTGTCAGTGACAATTTGCACAACATTTTTTTCTCCCACTTCTTCCACAATGTCATCAATCATCTTAAAAATTGCATCAACAGTTTTTGTAATGTGTGAGGCATCAATGGACTTTAAAAAGACGGTACCTTTAGGGCTGTTCACTAAGAAATTCAATATTGTTTTTCTTCTTTTGTCTGTCCACCCATCACTCATTATAGTGCATCCTGTATTCTCCCAAATAAGCTTGTGTTCTTCAATGAATTTCTTTGTCTCCTCTATTTTATGCTTCAAGTACTTTGTTCTGATTTCATGATATGAAGGTGGTTTGAATCCAAGACCATGTCTTGAAACCATCTCCAACATTTTTTGAAAATTTTCACTTTTTGCCACATTAAAAGCTATGGCATTGTTGTAGAAGAATGAAGCAATTTCAAGACATGCTTCTTCTCTCAAATTCTTTTTGAAGATGGAGTTGATGGTGGATTGAGTATTCATGCCCTTCTTCTTAAAGTTTTTTTGCAGGCGCAGCATTATCATCATTCTCCAATGGCCTCTTTCCTGTTACTATTTCATTTGCATCCTCTGTTTTTTTTAGCAAATTGTTTTGCAGAGACTTTAAAATCTCCCACATTTGGACTTTAACATCATCAGGTACAGATTTACACGCACCAACGTTTATCTGTGTACAAGTTAAATGATGTTTCAGCCTGTACATTCCTCCGATTACTTCCTTTGAACAGTAATTGCATTTGATTTTTCGTGTTCCTCCATCAACAGAGACACCATGCTTCCAAGCAATATCAGTTTTGCTTCCAGGAGCATTTTTTTGAACTTTTGGTGGTGTAGATGAGGATGCATGAACTGGAATTGATGAAGACATTGGAAAAAAAGTGTGGTAGAATAGAAGGTATGATGAGAGATCGTATAACTAAAGAAGAAAAAAAGTTGATGATTGAATAGAAATCGTATGATTGATTTATAGATGGAATTGAAGAAGAATAAATGATATCATTTAATAAATTGATATTTTTCAGATTGATTTTTAATTTCCCCCAAAAAATCAGCCTTGTAGATTAGCAACAAATTCTGACTTTTAATGATGAAAAACGGCTAATTTAATGTAAAACGGCTGGTAGAAAAAACTGAACGGGTCACCTTCTTCAATGGGCATTGGACCGGGTCGGGTCGAAACGGGTTGGACAAATTTTCCACTGCGAAATAGATCTTCGCTTTCACGTTTTTACGATCTTACACTGCGCTCCTACCGTACCGCCTTCTCCAGCGATCTTTGCTGCGCTCCGCCGCGGAGCATGGTGAAAACTCGTAAGATCTTAAGATCTCACGATTTAAATCTAGATTTCGACAACCATGATTGAGTGAAGCAAACAAATGAATTACCAGTGAGTGCAACCGAAGCCGTGGGACCAGAGTTCTGATTAGTCTGACACCACCTAAGGAAATCATAGTAGCTTGGTGTAAAGCTATGAAGAGAAGGTGAGGTCTGCAGAGTGTTTGAATGATCGAATTGAGCTGCATTCACCTGGTGTGAAGGTTTTCCATGCATCTTCCAGCAACGGTCAATAGTATGCTCAAGCCGGTTACAATGGTCACACTTGGGACGAGGTTTGGAGTTAGATGACCCTCCTCGAAAGCGTTTTGTTTGTTGCCTAGGGACACAAGGGCGAATGTGTCACCTGGGGTCGGGGCATCAATACATGGAGGGGAGATCGGGCCAAAAACATGAGGTGTAGCCAAGTGCAACAGTTGTTCACTAACTATATCATAGTTAGGAACAATAGTACCAAATAAAATTTAGTTACGAACGGACTCGAGTTCTGATGGTAGTCCGATGAGTGCCATGATCATGAAAAGCTTACTTTGTTGTTCGGCACGAGTTATTGCATCTTTTGCGTAAGGCATTAGGGTTGCATAATTTGCTTTCAAGGCGTCAAACTTACTTAGATAGGCTTGCATATCCATATTCTCCAACTTCAGAGAGTTGAGTTTTAGGATGACACTGTATAGTCAATGAACATCGTTAGAGAAGAATTTTTTAGCTTTTTCCCACCTCATAGCAAGTGGTGAAGGCTTGATATTGTGCTTGGAGATTAGGTGTTATGGAATACCATAACACAGTGCATAGAAAGGCATCGGTTTCTTTCTATTTAATGAGTTTGTCGGCGGCAACAACATCCAATTTTATGGTTAGGTGATCTTCAAACCCTTGATCGTGAAACCACATCTTAACAACACCAACCCATATGTTGTAGTTGGCTGATCCAGTTCGTTTTTCACATGGGGTAAGCTGAACTTGATAAACGAGTCTCCCATTGCTTGAAAATATCATAAAATCATATATTCACAGATGGGAAAAAATATCAGAAGGCAGACCTGGAAGCCAGCCGAAAAACCGAGTCAGGTGGTGAAAGTGGCAGAAGCGGAATATCACACGAACCGGAGAAAACAGAGGTTGTTTGATTTGTAACATGACTTTACGTGAGTCGAAAATAAAAAACTGAGGTCCGATTTGGAACCGGGGCAGGGAGGTGACCGAGACTGGGGATGGGCCGGATCTGGGCAGACGCACCTGTCTATGGGGGTGGTTTGTGGGAAAGTCGTCGGAGTCAGTGGCAGCAGGTAATGGAGGACGGAGGTTGACGAAAATTTGATGTCGGAAAGGCAAACCGGGGTGATGATATAGTTTATTGGAAAAAAAATTCTCACCGGAAGATTGTGGGTCAACTGGGTAAAGCATGGTGTAGGGTTGTCTCTCAGTAGGCTCTGGAAACCATATTGAAATGCGAGAGACTAAGAAGCATTTGAATAAACCGTGTGCTTTGAAAAACACTACGAAGACTTTATTATATATAGAGATTACAACTAATTACATGATATAGTTGATGCGAGACTATTCTATTTACAAATATTCTTAACACTATATATTTACAAATATCAACATATTTGAAGTTTTTTTCCATGATATTTTGGTAGGCAAGTGTATTAGTGGAAAATGACCTCCGCCAAATCGTAATTGTTGTGCCTCGGCATCTGGTCAACCTTTCCAGTTTATAATTGTGGTGGCTAGAAAATGGCGAGCGTGGCCAGAACTGGCAAAGGTCGCACAAAATCAATGGTTTTACAAATTTGGCTACAACACGTGAACAAGTAATTCTATTTAAGATCGGAATCGTTGGGGATGAGTGAGATCGCAAAATCATAAGATTTTAAGATTTAGATCAAGATCTTGACAACCATGTATGTATGTTACAATGCTAGACATATATATTCTAAAGTTTGAGAAACTTCTGTTGCTGTTTTACTTGTATCAGTATATGTATGTTTCAAACTGTAAAACAATACCATGCATATGATAGTTGTTAATTGAATGAAAGTATTTTACATGCAGTTGTTTATCATGCAGGGGTTGAAACTTTCAAGTTAGTTGCGAGGCAAGCCACACATACCATCTTGGCTGCTTGCCATTCCGAGCAGCACAAGTCTAGTATATACTCCTCAAGCTCCGTATGCAGCCATACTGACCATATTACACAGTTTCAGAAGTCCACTTTAATGACCAATTGTTGCCGACAATGTTTTCAGGTCTTTGTGAATGATATTGTCAAATCCATCATGTTGGAAAAAGTGGGTTGTTGTTCTTGATCTACATATTTTCATATCATGTTTTTCATTTCAATGATTATTATTTTCAACTATGTAAATAAATTAAGGCTTCCCTTTGGCTCAGGGCCTCAGGCATCCACATTGTTAACTTCATGTTAGGCGTTGCATTACTATCATTCTACTTTTCTACTTTTCCACTTTGATGGAAAAGGAATTGAAAAATGTATTGAAAATGTCCTTATTTATAAAAGTAGATAAGTTTGTACCAACTAACTTCTGCTCATTTTTGGCATAATCTGGGTATTTTGTGTTTGCATAAGTTACGCTTTTTTTATAAATAATTTAACTATGTTATTTCTTCAAGACAAATATGTCAATATTGCCTTGGGAGAAAAAAGTTGATGAAAAAAAAAATCAGGAGACTATCTAAAATAACACAAGTCAGAGGAAAATGGAATCTCATCTCTTACTCTTAAGCACAATAGCTTTATGTGGACTTAGCTTCCCTTATTCACTTTGATAAGTTACTTGCAAAGGATCTGTTTCTAATTTTTCTTAATAGACTCATGAAAGAGTTCAATATTAGAGCTATTTCTCTGATGCTTCCTGTTTATTTGAGATTTCATACATTAAAAAAAATAAAAATATTTAAAACCCTTGAATTTTAGAGTTTGAATATGGAAGTTTAAATAAAAATAAAAATGCATGATAGTAGATATGATGTTCCCGATTTCATTTAGTAGGATTGAATTGATTTTAGATGATCATAACACCTATTTGGCTTTTCAGTATAAAAATAATAGGTTTAAATGTGTTTTTAGTCTTTTTAGTTTAAACAATTTAAATAAATGGTACCCTTATTACAAAATTTGTAAATTTGGTCCTTTAAATTAGATTTACTTTAAATTTATTTGATTTTTCATTTAATTCTGACGATGTATCATGTTTTTTAATGATGTGACAGTTTTGTATGTATTTCATGTCACCAAATATTATTATTTTAATATAAAATTGAATAATTACATTAAAAAAACCTAAATCTTAATTGAATATAACATTATTATAATAGTTAAAAATTATGGATATTAGTTATAAAAATCATTAGGACTAAAAATTTGTCTTCCTCTTCCTCTTTTCCATTGTTCTTCGTCTTCTTCTTCCTTGTGCTCCTGTTCTTCATCTTCGTCACTCAATTTCTTCAAGTTAATATCAAATCTATCTATTAAAATGTCTCAGCAGTCTAGTTGTAGTCATGAAAGTGGGTCCTTAAGTCGTTCGGGATACGTATGCAAGTGTGGTCTTGACCCTCCGTTGATGACGACATGGATAGATGCGAACGGAGGTTGTCGTTTCTATGGTTGTGGGATGTATAAGGTAAGCATAAATCTTTAATTGGTTTACAAAAAGATTTAATTTTCGCACTCAATTAACTCTCTATTGGTGTTAACAGATCCAAGGATACAAACAATGCATTCACTTTTCTTGGTTGGATGAGGAAATGAATCATAGGGTAAAAGAGATAATTTCTTCACTGTTAAAGAACTTGAATGAGGAGAAGGAGATGGTTGAAGATTACCTGAGTTTTGTTATTAGTAATGTTCTTTGCATTTGTTGGAACAAATAAAATATGATATAGTTGATTAGTTTTGTATGTTGACTGATGTTGTAATGGTGTATTGGTTGAAATTTAATGTTATGATATTCATGTTATTGTATTAATGTTATGGACCCGTAATTTTGACATAACAATGACCTATAACACTGGCTTATAATTTGACATACTTAGATCTTTTAATTTGACAGTGGACCTATAATAATGACTTATAATTCGACATAACAATGCCTTGTAATTTGACATACTTAGATCTTTTAATATGACAGTGGACAATGCCTTATACACAATGACTTATATTAGTCTGCAACAATATGACAAAACACTACCTTATACACAGTAACATAACATGGCTCATAATTTGACATAACAATGTCTTGTAATTTGACATACCAATGCCTTATAATTTGACAGTACACCAATATGACAAAACAATAAGCAAAGGGCATTCCATTGACATACTTATATATTTGTCTGCATTACACCAAAATAACATTGTTTGACAGCAACATTGTTTAACCAAAATATCAACCAAAATAACACTCAAGACATAACTTGAGTCAAAATGAAACCTAGAGTACATTACTATCCAAAAGATAACCATATACACTATTTAAACCTAGAATATACTACTCTTGTGTTGGTTGTGGAGATTGTGAACTTTGACCAATTTCTATTTGTTTGTCTTTAGACTTAACCTCCACTTTCTTAGCATTCACTTTCTTAGCCTTCTTTGGTTTATTCTCACCCTTTGGAATATCCGTATCTACAACCCTTTTTCCCTTACAACTCCTCTTGTTATGCCTTATAGTCAATGTTTTAAAAATCGGACTGAACCGATTGGAACGAGAACCAAAGATGAATCCGGTTAGGTCAACCTTTCAAAACCGCTAGTGGGTCAAAATCGGAGTTAAACCAGAAAAATCAGATTGAACAGTCAAAAACCATTCGAACTGGAGCCGGTTTTGTAAAACTGTCCGGTTCAAAAAAATTCATCAAATTGACCATTTTTAAATTTTTTTTAATATGTTAATATCAAAACTTAACATACATTCCTCAATCACAAAAAAGAATTCTGTGTGTTTTTTTACAACCATACGAACTTCTAAATTTTGTCACTCTATTAGAGTTTTTTTTTCCAACCACACTCCTTCATCATCATGCCGTCTCTTTCAAATATAGTCACGATGCCCAACTCTATTGATTTTCGTTCAAGTTAATATTGTTTGTTATTTTCAATTAATACTTGTTTGTTGTAGTTCAACTCAAATTCGATTTTTTGTTGTTTCATAAAGGCCACAATTGTGGTCCATTGGTTGGAAACACCATGTGGGAGTAAGTTTCCAAAAATATTGATTTTTTGTTTAAAACATAATCCAACCATAACAGTCAACAATTCATACAAAAATAGTCAACATACGTAGTAAATAAGTATAATACAAAAGTCAAACCTATAACATGCATCAAGGAATCACAACATAAGTAGACAATAATACATTAACTAAACCAAACATAAACTGACACATGATACCACAAGAATACATTAACTGTACTAAACAAACCGACACAAGGGACATCGATACGTACCTTACACAGTATTGGACTCCTTCGTTTCTATCTTTTTGGGTTCGTCATCTTCGTCAAAACCAAATACCTATGAAACACAACTACACAACTTTGATGTGCACAATTGAACGCTTTGTACTAGAGTTGTGATTGATGGATTAGGGAATTTTCACTTGTAATGAATGATGAGTGTCAATGGGGGATTTGAGTTTATAACCTTTTAAAGAACAATTGTGTGATTTAGGGGGAAAATGTGAGAGGCCGTGATACTGACGGCCTGCATAGGATGCCGTACCTTGTCAGAGATTAGGCCCTACCTGTGAGTGGGAAGGGGTTATGCAGGAAAATTTGACCTTCAACCAACCCGATTTTCTATTTTCCTCATCGGTGCAGACTTTTGGTATTGTGGGTTTCTATTACTTCAGTCCTTTGGTATTCTGGTATTTTTTGGCCGAAGCGGAATTCTGGTTCAGCTCAGTCAGTAGCACAACAGTCTTGATCCCTTGTTTGCATCTACATTTTCATCTGCATTTTAACATTTGCATGTATTTATGATTTCAGGTTCCCATTTTCCCTTTGATTCTAGTAATATGATCCACTGTCAACATGGAGTCTGGATTGAAAAGGACTATCGCCTACAAGTTCCCGATGTCGAGTTAGGACCTTTATTTGGTCTCATTTCTGTGGTTGATCTTGGTGTCATTGAAGACTTCAAAAAGGACTATGGGAAGATTATGAGTTTTGTCCGTAAAACCTCAAGATATGAACTAGGAGCCATCCACACTTTGCTGCAGTTCTATGATCCTCAGCTACGCTGTTTCGTTTTCCCTGGTTATGTCTTAGTTCCTACTTTAGAGGAGTTTGCTTTTCTGGTGGGAGTCCCGGTCTTAGAGGAGATGCCTTTCTTTCATTCTGAGAAGGAACCTGATCTGAAAAAGGTGGCCAACGCTCTTCATTTGAACAAATCTGAGTTAGATGGTAATGTGGTTTGGAGAAATGGGGTTTCTGGTTTTCCATTGACTTTCTTGGTGGGCAAGGCTCAGCATTTTTCTAAGGAGGGGTGTTGGGTGGTCTTCAATGCTATTATAGCCTTATGCATTTATGGTATAGTTCTGTTTCCCAACATACCAGACTTTGTTGATATGGATGCCTTTGATATTTTTACTTCCACGAATCATGTACCTACTCTTCTGGGAGATGTATACCATTCAATACATTACAAGAATGAGAAGATGAGAGGAAATAATGTTTCTTGTTGTGCGCCACTCCTTCATAAATGGTTTATGGAGCATCTTCCTCGAGCCGGGGATTTTGTTGATACGTCAGATACATTAAATTGGTCAGAAAGGCTCATGGGTTTGACATCTGAGAATATTGTCTGGTTTAATCGAGATCTGCTCGGCATGGAGATCATCTTTAGTTGTGGAAACTTTCTTAATGTTCCTCTGATAGGGAGAAAAGGTGGTATCAATTATAACCCTTCTCTTGCTATTAGGCAGTTTGGTTACGCTTTGAAAGGGGCCCCGAAGGAGGAGGAAATACAGGAATCTCTGTATTTCACAGGAGCAGCTGACTGTGACACTTTAGCCAGATTAAAGAAGGCTTGGGGAAGAGTTCATTGGAGAGGAAAACCTTCTTTGGGTAAGGGTAACTACAGAGCTTATGGACCTTATGTAGATTGGATCCAGGAAAGGGCGGAGAAAATGCTGTTACCATTCTTTGTCAAAGAACCTCTGTATCCTTTGGTTATTGAAGAACCGATGACAGTTGATATTCAAAGGTATAATAAGCTGTGGGATGAAAAAGAAGAATTACACAAGGAAAATGAAGATTTGAAAATGGAGGTTAGTCAGTTAAAGAG